AAAATATAATCACTAATAATAATAACTTATTATTATTATGATTATTATTATATTAGCTTGGGGATCCGGTGGTGACGTTCAAATACATCTTGATATTACATCAATAATAATAAATATATGGAATAATATATACTTTATTATCTATTATTATTGCATGGGTCGGGGGGTGTGAATGGTGCGGGGGTGGTGATTACCATATGCAAATGATGTGTAATATTTATTATTACATACATACTAATATTCATTAATATATAATATAGTGTTTTATATTAGTATTATTCTTATTCTTAATTATTATTATTATTCTTCCCCGCATTCCCATGGGTCCCCTGGTTCCTCACTTTATGCCTACCTACTAGGGGTGTTGTGTGTGTTTTATATTCTTCTTCTCTTCTTCATTCTTATTTTTCTTATTCTCCCTCATTTCCCTGTTTCCCCTGCCTTCATACTTCTCTGACTCTTATCTCCTCCTATATCTCCTCCTCCTACTCTATCCTAGTAATAATTAGGTCGACAGGCCCGCCTATCGCAGCACAATTCTTCTCGGTTCCAGTTAGCCGGCCCCCTTCAGAGTTTCCTGCCCGCTCATCTGGATTGATGTCTCCTTTTTACTTTCATGGACTGCCCCTTTATTTCTCGGTTGTTCTCCCTACCCCGCCCGGAGCTCTGGCGTGGGCTGGTCCATGAGGTCACGAAGAGTCGGAGACGACTGAACAAATGAACAACAACAACAATAATAATAATAATTATTATTATTATTATTATTATTATTATTATTATTATTATTATTCCAGCATTCCCATGGGTCAACTGAGTTAATATTATATGATTATTACATACTATAATAATAATAATAATAATAATAATAATATTCCAGAATCTCCATGGGTCAGCTGAGTAAATTATTATTTTTATTATTATGCCAGTTTCTCAATGAGTCAATTGAGTTAATGTATTATTATTATTATTATTATTATTATTATTATTATTATTATTATTATTCCAGCATCTCCATGGGTCAACCGAGTAAATATATTACTACTACTATTAATTATTGTTGTTATACCAGCATCTCCATGAGTCAATTGAGTTAATATATTAGCAGTAGTAGTAGTAGTAGTATTCTAGCATCTCAGTGAGGCAAGTCAGTAAATACATTATTGTTATTATTATTATTATTATTATTATTATTATTATTATTACTATTATTATTATTCCAGCATCTCCTTGGGTCAACCAAGTAAATTTATTACTCCCTTTACTTCTTCTTCTTCTTCTTCTTCTTCTTATTATTATTATTATTATACCAGCATCTCCATGAGTCAATTAATATAGTATTATTATTATTATTATTATTAGTAGTAGTAGTAGTAGTAGTAGTAGTAGTATTCTAGCATCTCAGTGAGTCAAGTCAATAAATATATTTATTATTATCATTACGGCATCTCCATGGGTTTACTGAGTTAATACATTATTATTATATATTATAATTTATTATAATTTATTATTATTATTATTCCAGCATCTCCAGGGGGTCAAGCCTTTCTAATACATTATTATTATATATTATAATTTATTATTATTCCAGCATCTCCATGGGTCAACTGAGTTAATAGTATAATAATAATAAATTATTATTATTATTATTATTATTCCAGCATCTCCATGGGTTGAGTTAATAGTATAAGATTATTATAATATATTATAATATATTATAATTATTATTCCAGCATCTCCAGGGGTCAACCCTTGCTAATACATTATTATTATATGTTATAATATATTATTATTATTCCAGCATCTCCATGGGTCAACTGAGTTAATAGTATAAGATTATTATAATATATTATAATATATTATTATTATTATTATTATTATTATTCCAGCATCTTCAGGGGTCAACCCTTGCTAATACACTATTATTATATATTATTATTCCAGCATCTCCATGGGTCAATTGAGAGTCTATTGTATTATTATTATTACTATTATTAAAATGGGGGGGGGGGCTTTCTTCATTTCTTGACCTTCTTCTCTCCCTTTTTCTCTAATTTGCAGCAACACCATCACCAAGTAGACCAAGAAGCCAGGGATTGTCCCTCTTTGTGGGTCAAGGATTCGTCTTCCTTCCACTTTCAAACCAAGACACGTTTGTGTACATAGCTGTATGGAGTTTGGAGCCCCTTCCTTCCAACTCTCTTCTCTTTTTGTATCTTTAATGTGAAAGCAAACTAAGTAAAAATCAGAACTTCCTTCCCGGTTTGTCAAGTCTCTTCCTTCTATTGCGACCAAAGTTTTTCCATGCTTTTTCCAGAAATACTTCATATCTTACATGTATTTTTATCCGTGTTATAGCCCACCTCCAGCCATAAGGAGAGGCAGGTAATACTATTATTATTATTATTATTATTATTAAATATATTTTATTGAATATTTCCAGATTTTTTTAAAAAAATATCATTATTATTATCTAAACATATTTTATTGAATATTTCCAGATTTTTTTCCCACACAATTATTATTATAATTATTTAGACATAGTTTACTGAATATGTCTCAAATTTTTCCACAATTATTATATTTATTATTTAAATAAATTTTATTGAATATTTCCAGTTTTTTCACACAGTTATATTTATTACTATTTAAATATATTTTATTGACTATTTCCAGATTTTTTTCATACTATAATTATAATTATTTAAGTATATTTTATTGAATATTTCCAGGTTTTTCAGACAATTATTATCATATTTATTACTATTTAAATATATTTTATTGACTATTTTCAATTTTTTTCACACAATGATCATTATTGAAACTTATTTTATTGAATATTTCCATATTTTTCATACAGTTATTATAATTATAATTATTTAAACATATTTCTTGACTATTTCCAGATTTTTTCATGCAATTATTATAATATTTATTACTATTTAAATATATTTTATTGACTATTTCCAGATTTTTTCATACTATAATTATAATTATTTAAGTATATTTTATTGAATATTTCCAGGTTTTTCAGACAATTATTATCATATTTATTACTATTTAAATATATTTTATTGACTATTTTCAATTTTTTTCACACAATGATCATTATTGAAACTTATTTTATTGAATATTTCCATATTTTTCATACAATTATTATAATTATAATTATTTAAACATATTTCTTGAATATTTCCAGATTTTTTCATGCAATTATTATAATATTTATTACTATTTAAATATATTTTATTGACTATTTCCAGATTTTTTTCACACAATTATTATATTTATTACTATTTAAATATATTTTATTGACTATTTCCAGATTTTTTCACACAATTATTATCATATTTATTACTATTTAAATAGTAATAAATATAATAATTGTGTGAAAAAATTCCAGATTTTTTTCACACAATTATTATTATATTTATTATTATTTAAACATATTTTATTGAATCTTTCCAGATTTTTTCACATAATTATAATTATTTAGACGCAGTTTACTGAATATGTCTAGATTTTTTCACATTATTATTTATATTTTTATTGAACATTTCCAGGGGGATTTTTTTTCACACAATTATTATTTAAAATCTTTTTATTAAATATTTCCAGATTTTTTTCCACACAATTATTATTATTATAATTATTTAGATGCAGTTTACTGAATATGTCTAGATTTTTTCACATTATTATTTATATTTTTTATTGAACATTTCCAGGGTTTTTCCCCACATAATTATTATTTAAAATCTTTTTATTAAATATTTTCAGATTTTTTTTTCACACAATTATTATTATTATTATTTAGACATAGTTTATTGAATATGTCTAGATTTTTTCACATTATTATTTATATTTTTTATTGAACATTTCCAGGGGTTTTTTTCCCTGCACTATTATTATTAAAAATATTTTAATTAAATATTTCCAGATTTTTTTTTTCCTGCAAAATTATTATTTAAAATATTTTATTAAATATTTCCACATTTCTTTCACACAATTATTTAAAATATTTTTATTAAATATTTCCACATTTTTTCCACACAATTATTATTATTATTATTATTATTTAGACATAGTTTATTGAATAGATTTTTTGATATTATTTTTTATTGAACATTTCCAGGGTTTGTTTTTATTTCTTCACACATTATTTAAAGTATTTTGTTAAATATTTCCAGATTTTTTCACACAATTATTATTTTTTTCACCGTTATAATAATTATTACACATTTTATTGAACTCTAGCTTGGGTGCCTCTAGCTTGGATTATTTGCAAAACTACATTGGGAGTTGTAGTTTACTATACTACTGTGCTATACTACAATATTGCAATATTAATCATATTACATAAAATATGATTAATATTATTATTAATATTAATACCATTATTGTTAATACCAATAATATTATTAATATTAATACCATTATTATTAATACCAATAATATTATTAATATTAATACCATTATTATTAATACCAATAATATTATTAATATTAATACCATTATATTGTAATAATAATAATATATATTAATTTATTTTATTTATTTACAGTATTAATATTCCGCCCTTCTCACCCCACAGGGGACTCAGAGTGGATTACAATGTACATATACATGGCAAACATTCAATGCCATAGACACACAACATATATAGAAACACAGAGAGAGGCTATTTAACATTCCAGCTTTTTCATGAGGGTATTCTGACCACCGGGGGAGCTGTCGTTTCCTCATTCTTTGCATACTTGCATACTTCCTGGAGATTTTTCATGGCCTCGTCAATCAGTTAATTTAGCCTCCCCACAAAGTGGTACCTAATAGGCCTGTTTGATCAAGAAAAAATTTGTTTCTAAAATCGTTTTGTAATTGGGGTGTTTTTTTGTTTCGATATTTAAAATAATTACAAAACTTTCCCAAAAAAAGTTTTGGTATTTACAAAATTTTGTAAATATTAACGAATTTTTAGAATATTTTTTGTATTTTTTAAGAATAATATTAAAATAATATTAAAAAATAATATTAAAAATAATATTAAAAATAATATTAAAATATTTTAAAATGGAAAATTAACCAAAAAATGGCCCAAATGTGGACCAAACACAGGCAGGAGACAGCAAATGAGAGCACACACCAACAGAAGAGTCTTTTCTTTTTTAGAATATTTTTTAAGAATAATATTAAAATAATATTAAAAAATAATATTAAAATAATATTAAAAAATATTTTAAAATGGAAAACGAAACCGCACAGGCCTACTATACAGACATAGCGGGTTTGAGTCAGACCCAGCTAACACCTCCAACAAAGGATTCCCCTGAGCAGGAAGGAGCCAGACTTTGAAGCTACAAGGCCATTTAATCCCAATCAAGCTGTCCAATGGCAACATTCACACTTGCCTCCAACAGACAAGAGTTCTTTCTCCCACCCTGGACCTTTTACAGCCAGGCTTTGAAGCTGCGAGGCCATTCAATGCTAATCAAGGTGGCCAATGGCAGCATTCACAATTGCCTCCAACAGACAAGGGTTTTTTCTCCCACCCTGGACGTTATTTCACAGGGATATAAACCCTACTTGCCTAGTTTCCAACAAAACCTCTGAGGATGCCTGCCATAGATGTGGGCAAAATGTCAGGAGAGAATGCTTCTGGAACATGGTCATACAGCCCAGAAAACTCACAGCAAGCCTGGATGCAGCCTTCAATTCTCAGGCGGGCCACGGAGGCAGAGCCGGCGCTGCAGGAATCCCCTCCCCGGCTCCTGCGCTCCGGCTCCTGCGCCCTCCTCCTCCTCCTCCCAGCTGTGTTGCATGGCGATCGGATGGCGCGCGGAGGCCGGTTGTAAGGGTGAGCGCGCGCGCGCGCCATCCAATCGGCTCCGGCTCCTGCGCCCTCCTCCTCCTCCTCCTCCTCCTGGCACTTCCTGCAACACAGCTGGGAGGAGGAGGAGGAGGAGGAGGAGGGCGCAGGAGCCGGAGCCGATCGCCGCCCCTTCGCCCCGCCCGCCCCATTTACAAAACGGGCGAAAGCTCGTAAATACTCTGGTAGTTGCCGTTTCGATATTTAAAAACCCTTCCGGGTTTGAAAATATGTTTTGAAATCGCGTCGGATATGGTAAAAATAACAAAACATTAACGAAATAACGAAATAACGAACGAAACCGGACAGGCCTAGTACCTAATTTTCTTTTTTAAATATTTTTTATATTATTATTAATATTAATACCATTATATTGTAATAATAATATTATTTTCACATTATTATTATTACTATTATCATCGTTTTTATTAATTATCCTGCTCTAAATTTGCACCGAAACCAAACCAGAAAGATTGGAAGCTCTGGATGAAGAGGAACTTGCTCCTTTTTGGCCGAGGAAGAATCTCGTTTGGAGCACAGATTTATTAAACAAGGCCAAAAAACAAAACAAAACAAAACAAAGAGTTCAAAACAACAAGGCGCAGAGTTCTTTCTCCCCCCTCCTTGCAAGGAAAGGGATTTTTCAAAGGTCCGGGGATCCAGACTCGCCTGGAGAAGGTTCCCAAAGCCATTACTTCTCATTCTCCTCTTCTTCCTCCTCCTCCTCGTCTTCTTCCTCCTCCTCGCTGCTCTCTTCGCTCTCGTCTTCGTAATTGTAGTTGACCCGGTTGGTGTTCACAAAGAGGTCGGCGTCATCGTCCTCGGAGTCGTCTTCTCCGGCCGAACGCTGTGGGCTTGCAGCCCTGTCTCTGTGAGGAAGGAAGGAAGGAGAGGGGACCGTCTAGAGCAGTGTTTCTCAACCTGGGGGTCAGGACCCCTGTGGGGGTCACGAGGGGGTGTCAGAGGGGTTGCCAAAGATCATCAGAAAACATAGTATTTTCTGTTGGTCATGGGGGTTCTGTGTGGAAAGTTTGGTCCAATTCTATCGTTGGTGGGGTTCAGAACGCTATTTCATTGTGGGTGAACTATAAATCCCAACAACTACAACTCCCAAATGGCAATGTCTACTTTCTCCAAACTCTACCAGTGTTCATATTTGGGCATATTGAGTATTTGTGCCAAGTTTGATCCATATCCTTCATTGCTTGAGTCCACAGTGTTCTCTGGGTGTAGGTGAACTATAACTCCAAAAAACTCAAGGTCAATGTCCACCAGACCTTCCCAGTATTTTCTCTTGGTCATGGGAATTCTGTGTGCCATGTTTGATTTAATTCCATCCATTCATGGAGTTCAGAAGGCTCTTTGATTTTAGGTGAACTATAAATCCCAGCAACTCCAGCATTACCAAATGACAAAATCAATCACCCTCAACCCCACCAGTATTGGGTATTTGTGCCAAATTTGGTCCAGTAACTCAAAATACATCCTGCATATCAGATATTTACATTACAATTTATAACAGGAGCAAAATTACAGTGATGAAGTAGCAACAAAAATAACGTTATGGTTGTGGGTCACCACACCATGAGGACCTGTACTAAGGGGTCGCAGCATTAGGAAGGTTGAGAACCACTGGTCTAGAGCAGGGGTCCTCAAACTACGGCCCGCGGGCCAGATATGCCCCTCCAAGGTCATTTACCCGGCCTCACTCAGACAACTAGCAGAAGGATCACAGAAGCTCAGAATAATGGACTCTGGAGTCACCGGTAAAAAGCAGGTATCAGCTTTACTTGAGCAGTTCCAAAAACACAACATACATCATGAGCAGACAGGCGTGAAGAAAACACAGAACGAAAGAGAGATAGGCACAAAAGCAAACTGCAGCCAGCAGGGAGTTATCTCTGGCACTCCCTAATGCAGCACTTCTCAACCTGGGGGTCGCGACCCCTCGGGGGTCGTTCGGCCATTTTCTGGGGGTCGCGAAGCCGCATTGGCTGGCCACGCCCCCTCCAAAATGGCGGCCGACCCCCTCAGCCACTGGTATTCCTGCGTGCGAAGCCATCCACCTGTCCCTCATCTCCTGATGGCAGAAGGAGGCAAGCGACAGGCGAGTGGCTCTGTGGATGGCTAGGCTCCACGCAAAGCCATCCACTAGGCTTGGGCGGTTTCGTTCGTTAATTTCGTAATTTATTATTAATTCGTATTTAAATTAGCTTACGATCCAATACCGAGCCATGCAGGAATAGTGTGAGGAGTAATTAAGAATCGAAACAATTTTTCCAATTTTCGTAATTATTTGGTAATTATTTTCGTAATATAATATAATAATAATTAAGATATAATACAATATATATAATATAATATAATAATATATAATATTATAATATATAATAATATAATATACAATAATATAATATAATAACATTATAATAATATATAATATAATAATATATAATATAATATTATAATATATATTATAATATAACATATAATATAATAATATACAGTAATATAATATTATAATAATATAATATGATATAATATAATAATATATAATATTATAATAATATAATATACAATAATATAGTATAATAATATAATAATATATAATATAATAATATTATAATAATATATAATATAATATAATAATATTATAATAATATAATATAATAGTTGTTTGTTTTATCACACCAACAGTCAACAACAGAGGGAGAGGGAAGCTTCAGAAGTTCCCCCGGTCCCATTTGGAGGTTTTTTTAGCATATTGTGCAATCGCGTCCGCCATTAACGAATCAATTCGAAATTTGCAAAATTTCGTAAATTTCGAACTTTTTTAAAGAAAAAAATCGGAATTCTTTTAAAAAACGAAACGCAATGGACCCCCTAAAAACGAAACGAGTTTAGAAACAATTTTTTCCGTTGTTACCCAAGCCTACCATCCACCCGTCCCTTGCCTCCTTCCGATGGCTCCGTGGGCGCCCCTCGCCTGTGTTGCTCTCCCGCTGTCAGTCAGGGGTGCAGAGCCTTGCGCCAGGCGCCCCTTGCCTACATCTTCATTGGAGGTGAACTATAAATCCCAGCAACTGCAACTCCCAAATGTCAAGGTCTATTTCCCCCAAACTCCACCAGTGTTCACATTGGGGCATATTGAGTATCCGTGCCAAGTTTGGTCCAGATCCATCATGGTTTGAGTCTGCAATGCTCTCTGGATGCAGGTGAACTACAACTCCAAAACTCAAGGTCAGTGCTCACCAAACCCTCCCAGTATTTTTCGTTGGTTGTGGGAGTTCTGTGTGCCAAGTTTGGTCCAATTCCATCATTGGTGGAGTTCAGAATGCTCTTTGATTGCAGGTGAACTATAAATCCCAACAACTACAACTCCCAAATGACACAATCAATTCTCCGTCCAGTCGTGTCCAACTCTTTCTCTTATTGGAAAATTGCAATAAATAGAACAAATGCCTTAAGAGTGATTGAAAAGTTATTCATAACACGCTCACCTCTCTTTCACGTCTCGGGGAGTTCCGGCGGCATCGTCCAAAAAGGCTTCGGGCCTAAAGGAGGGCACAGAAGGGTTAAGCCTCGCATCGTGTACCAAGTAGGATAATAATACCATAAAACAGTACATTACCGTATATACTCAAGTATAAGCCGACCCAAATATAAGCCAAGCACCTATTTATTTATTTGTCGTGTCAGAGCAACCAGTCCATTATATTACATTTCTAACAGAAGCATTGCCTGAACATCAGGGAAAAAGTGGGCGCTAGAAACAATATCATACGAACGCGGACTGGTACAACCTGGGGATCACAACCAGACACAGTGACGACATCTGAAAACAAACAGACAAAATACAAAACGTGTGAGTTTGGTAGTTGATTCAATGTCCTTTGACCAGCATCTGGCCACTTGGAGTGCCTCTGGTGTTGCCGCAAGAAGGTCCTCCATGGTGCATCATGTGGAAGGAGGACTCAGGTTGCATTGCAGCAGGTGGTCAGTGGTTTGCTCTTCTCCGCACTCGCATGTCGAGGATTCCACTTTGTAACCCCATTTCTGAAGGTTGGCTCTGCATCTCGTGGTGCCAGAGCTCAATCTGTTCAGCACCTTCCAAGTCCCCCCCTCTTCTGTGTGCCCAGGGGGGAGTCTCTCATTTGATATCAGTTCTGGGTTTGAGCCTGCCACTTTTGGACTCTCGCTTGCTGAGGTGTTCCAGCGAGTGTCTCTGTAGATCTTAGAAAACTATTTCTAGATTTAAGTCGTTGACGTGCTGGCTGATACCCAAACAGGGGATGAGCTGGAGATGTCTCTGCCTTGGTCCTTCCACTATTGGCTGCTACTTCCCGGCGGATGTCAGGTGGTACAATACGATGGCAATGACTCTTGCTTTCCTCCAGATTTTGGGGATCTGACAGGATGCAGTGCAGTTGTTCATCAGCTCCAGCAGCCAGCACCTTGCGCCGGCTAGACAGTGTAATTTCTCCAGTGGTGTAGGGCGCAGATACCCCGTGATAATGCGGCATGACTCATTCAGAGCCACATCCACTGTTTTAGTGTGGTGAGATGTGTTCCACACTGGGCATGCATACTCAGAAGTAGAGTATCACAGCGCAAGGGCAGATGTCTTCACTGTGTCTGGTTGTGATCCCCAGGTTGTGCCAGTCAGCTTTCATATGATATTGTTTCTAGCACCCACGTTTTGCTTGATGTTCAGGCAGTGCTTCTTGTAGGTCAGAGCACGGTCCAGAGTGACTCCCAGGGATTTGGGTGCGCTGCAATGCTCCAGTGGGATTCCTTCCTTCCCAGGTAATAATCCTCAGAGCTTGGGATGCTTCTCTGTTCTTAAGGTGAAAGGCACGTCTGTGTTTTAGATGGGTTGGGGATCAGTTGGTTTTCCCTGTCATAGGCAGTCAGAGCACCTAACAAGAGATTGAGAACAACAACCTCCATGAATCCTTTACATCTAATAATAATAATAATAATAATAATAATAATAATAATAATAATAATAATAATAATAATAACAACAACATCTACTGAATTGGACATGGCTCTCAACAAATGTAAGAATGGCAAAGCACCTGGCTTGGATGATCTACGGATGGAACAAATCGAGAACTTTGGTCCAAAAGCAAGGCGCTGGCCGCTGGAGCTGATGAACAACTGCACCTCATCCTGTCAAATCCCCAAAATCTGGAGGAAAGCAAGAGTCATCGCCATCTTGAAGCCAGGCAAAGACCGTAATGACCCAAAAAGCTACAGACCAATCTCCCTGTTGTGCCACCTCTACAAAGTTCTGGAGACTTATTTTGCATAGAATTACGGAAAAAATAGACCCCTGTCTGATCCCACAGCAAGCTGGCTTCAGGAAAGGCAGAAGCTGCACATCGCAAGTGCTGAACTTCCTGACTCAGCACATAGAAGATGGCTTTGAAAGGCAGCAGATCACAGGATCTGTCAGCGGCTTATGACACTGTGAACCACCGGCCTCCTCCTGAGAAAAATGTATAATATCACAAAGGACGACCACCTCACCCGCCTCATAGGAAACCTGCTACAAAACAGGAGCTTCTTTGTTGAGTTCCAGGGCCAGAGAAGCAGATGGCGGAAACAGAAGAATGGCCTGCCTCAGGGGAGCGTGCTTGCTCCATCCATGTTCAACATCTACACAAATGACCAGCCACTGCCAGAA